GTCTGTCTGTCTCTCTCCCTCCCTGTCTCTCTGTCCTCTGCCTGTCTCACCCTGTGCCGGTCTGTCTGCAGGAGCTGAACCTTCAGCTGCTGGATGAGCTGATGGGCTACGCGGATGTGGACATGAGCGGGTCTCTGGACCGCCAGGAGTACATCCGGCTGGTGACGTACATCAGCATGAAGTGAGAGTGGACCCCGCTGTCCGGGTAACCCCCCAAAACAACGAGTCTATAGCCTGTCTCACCTGCTACCTGCTCCAGGAGTGCTGAGCTCCCTGGCTGTAGAATTGGGACACTCCTGGGCTCTCCAGTCCATTCCTAGACCTTCTCATTGTCTCCCTGAAACAAGGAGCGACTACCCCTGAAACCTCTGTAACCTTTACCTGTATTCTCAGACTCCAATAAAAGCGTCCTCTTACCACAGGCTGAGCGCCTCTTGTCATTTATTATTAATCTGCTTGTTTTAACGGCCCTACTGCTTGGCTGACTTGTCAAGTTGTGTGCAGAGCTCAGGAGTCTCCACTAGAGGGCGCCAGAAACCCGGCAGCAGCACCATCAGGGCGCAATAAACGCAAATGGCCACAGGGGGGCTTCAAGAGCCGACACGCTGACCAGCAGCGGCCGCTCGTGAAGGAATTCGATTTCCTGACGAGGGTCGCTTTCCGAGGCTGTGCAGCTCAGCGTGTTGGGTTTTTTTTTAGGCCCACGCATCTTACAGGTACCGAGGCTTTTCTTGTGTGTGCACAACTCAGTACCACAATCACACAGCACCACACAGTTTTGAGCCATTGCTCACGAGCAATTCCTGAAAGGCTATCTGCATTTTCAAAACCGCAAACGCAAAAAGTGAATGCCTGCCTTCAAAGAAAGGTGACAGGAGGGCAGGAATGCAGATATTCCTGGAGATATTAAACCTTTTCTCTCCAGAACAGGAAAAAAAAAAGCTACTGCACATCTGTCCAGGACACCTGGCTGTCTAAACTAGGCTCCCCCACACACGCCTACTCGTCAATACATCTGGAAGAAAATTCTCATCTCCTCAGAGACCTCCCAGTTAAACTATGAACACCACTAATCTCCTGCTCTGTAGAGATTTAAATTGATGCAGGAATACACCGCAGAGACGAAATGCTAAATTCACTCTTTGTTTTCTGCATCGAAGACGGAACAAATTCCCTGCAAGCCTTCAGTCATGTCCTCCTGACTTGTCAGGACTGCTGGCTGGCTGCTCGTGTTAAAGCACAGGAGCTGAATTAACACTCTGTTTAATTGAATTGCTCTGCGGTTCTAATTACTGCTGGCTCTCTCCCTGAACTGCTGGAGCTCACACTCAGCTCTGCTCAGCCAGCAGCTGGGGTGCAGGACTGGGGTCTGGACCCTGC